AGGAGGGTAGAGAGAATAGTGCAACAATGAATGAGTGGAAGCCCAAAATCTCTGTAAATGTTTATGAAAATTAATAAAATATAATTATAGAAAAAAAAATCACACAAAAGGAAAAATAAACAGGATAAAGCTATTAAAATTTATTATTCTTTTTACAAATGTGCTTTAAAATTCTTGGTTTCCAATAGCATATAACATTATATAGATTATAAAGCAAAAGATAATCTACTTTCTTCCAAAGAAAATTAATATAATAGGAATAATCATCTTTAAGAGGGTTTAATAAAATACAACACCATAAAATTTCCTGCTGTGGTTGCAAATAAAGAAATGCTTTATGATTACCTCATAATGTAGAAGCATATATATTCAATACACAGTAAATATTTCTAAAATTTGGTGCATAAAATAGATTTCAAGATTCTCACAAGAAGTTAGTAAAACAGACATACCTGAGTAAAAATATTGTGTGTCTGGCTTAGAATCCACCTTGCATCTGCATCAGGGGCTACCACTAATTTCAAGGTTCCAACATAAACATCAGAACACAGAGTCCAGAAGTGCTGCTCTTGCAAATTGTAAACACCTTGCAACTGCTGCACCTAAAATATAAATGCCGATATTAACTAGAATCAGTGCATATTTCCTCTCCACCGAAGTTATGTCAACATGTCAGTAAACAGATTGTACCCTCTAGTTAAAAATAGGAGGTAGTAGTGAATTAATTAACAAATATATATTGCAAACTCGTAATAAAAATGTGTAGAGCAGAGCTGAGAGAGAACCTTGGGAAATTTACAGTTTCAAAGTCTTTCATGAGAGAACAAAGTAAGTGGGTTAAAAATACAGAAAAAGATGAACAGAATAAGCCCAAAGAAATAGAGAAATAAGCTAATAAAGGACAGAAATCAATTTAGAAAAGAATGGACTTAAAATTATTTAAAAAGCTGGGGTGTTTTTTATTTGTGTGTTTTTTTTGTTTGCTTGGTTATTTTTTTTGCTTTCTCTCTCCCTACAATTTGTTTTCTACACAGAAGGCAGAATAACATTTTATAAACCTAAAATTATGGTATGTCTCTGTCTTAAAAGCTTTCTGTTTCCCATTTGTGCTTCAGTAAACTACTTAGGATAGCTTTTGTAGCCATTTCTTTATTATTATTCTCTCATGGCTGGGTAGGCCAAAAATTAGGTGTTTGATGCCTACTAAGGGGACTAGAGGTGGTCTTCCTCTAGAAGGACATGATGCTGGGAAGGGAGAGGGTCAGCGAAGGAAAGGAAGACTTTCAACCAGGTGGACTGACTTCGTTGACTGCTGCAAGGGGCTGTCGTGTTAGGAAGTGTGAGGATAGTGCAGGTCAGAACAGGGTTCAGAACTTCCGTTCAAAGGGTCATTATGAATCGTGCTCGACTTGACAGCACCTAACAACAGCAAGAGGACGAGAGAGTTTGCTAATAAGGGAAATAAGAAAATGACTCATTATATGAGACTATGCAAATAAGATGTTTAAAATACTAATGTGGGACTGCTCAGCTTTGCCATTCTACCAGATATAAATAGAGCTACCCCAGAGGTAGAAAACAGACCAGAGGAGAGCTCTGGCACTGGAGAGATGAAGTAAGAGAATATAGCAGAGGTGGTAGCAAAAGTGGCAGAGAACCAGAACTAGTATGAGACAGCATTGAGGGCTCCCAGTCCAAGCGATGAGAGAGTATTTGCTAGGGAAGTGGGCATATTTGGGCACTTGCCAAGGAAGCTAGATTTGCTGATTCAAGTCAAACACCTTTGAGCCTAGGCTTATTGGCAGAGTGGGGCTGGAACGTAATTCACAGAGTGAAAGAACTTTTGTAAAATTTGCTCAGGCAGAGGCTTGCCTGTAAGCAAGACTGAAAAAGAGACTATCATGACTGAAGTCATATCCTGAGTGTTCCTGTACATAAATTATAGCCTGTCACTTTTCTATGATCACTGAGTACTGTCTATGTTCTATGTAGCCGCTGCAATGAACTTGCAAGCCTAGTGGAGAAGTACTGAACACAGTAGGAGGGGTTGTTGATGTTAGAAGTTACATAGTGTGGGGACATGCTTGACCTCATAGACATCAGTTTTGTGCTACTGATTACAATCTTTCTCCTTTATGAAGTTATTGAGCACAGGCTAACCTGTTGGTTCATGACTGAATTAGAATTAAATCTTAATCTCTTTGTATGACCAAACCCCTTATGATCTCACCTTTGACATTCTCTCCAAACTTATAAATAAAGGGAGGGAATAATTTTTTTGTTTCCTCCCAAGCACACTCAATTGGTTCTCATCATAAAATCATAATTTTCTTTTGCTTGGAACACTATCAAGATTTTAATATGATTGGGTGCTTCTTATCATTAAAGTTTTTTAATTTAAAAATAATTTTCTCAGTGAATCTAGTGTAGCTACCCAGGTCTGTATCTCTCTGTTTTATACTTATTATTGTCATTATCAGTAATATTTATGTATCTACAGTTTCATTATTCCACTGTAAGCTCCTTGAGAAAACAGCCTTATTTATCATATTACTTATACCTTAGAAGCATCTGACAAAACACAAGACCTAAAAAAAAAATACGTTACTTGCTACTCATATTCTACATTTCAAAAGAAATCTTCAGTTTCTAGATCAGGACAATTTTTACCACATTTTCTTTAGTAAAGTTCACTATTTCTCAAGATTGTTTTATTTGGATTTACAAAAGTTAAGCTGAAGGCCAACATTTAATATAGGAAGAAATACTGAATTATACACGTGGTACTCATATTTGCCATGTTGTTATTGTTATGTGCCGTCGAGTAACTTGCAACTCACAGCGACCCTAGGTACAACTGCCCTAAACTCTGCTCTGTCCTGTGCTAATTGCACTGTCTTCGATACACCCATCCAATTATCCCAGTCACTGAATCAATCCACCTCATAGAGGGCCTTCCCCTCCTGCGCTGTGTCCCTCCACCTCCCAAGCATGATGTCCCTCTCCAAGGACTGGTCCCTTCTCACACATGTCCAAAGTATTTTAGACGAACCCTCAGAATCCTTGCCTCCAAGGAGTCACTCGGTTTAACCCTTTTCAGGATGAATCTGTTTGTTTTCCTAGCAGTCCATGGTATTCTCAAAACACTTCTCCAGCACCACAACTCAGAGGCATCAATTCTCCTTCTATCCTCCCTAGTCATTGTCCAACTCTAATGCATAACAAGTGACTGCGAAGACCATGGCCTGTATCAGACAGACCTTAGTCTCCAGAGACACATGATTGTTCCTCAGAACTTTGGAAAGGTCCCTAACAGCAGACTTTCCCATCACAATTCACCTTTTAATTTCCTGGCTGCTGGTGCCAAGAGTGTTGACTGTGGAGCCAAGTAAACTAAACCTGTGAACAATCTCAATCTCTTCACCATCCATCCTGATGCTGCCAATTGGTCCAGTGGTGAGAATCTTTGTATTCCTGACATTGAGCCTCAATCCATATTGGAGGCTGCAGTCCTTGACACTCTGCAGCAAGCACTTCAGGTCCTCCTCAGTTTCAGTAAGCAGGGTTGTGTCATCTGCATAACGCAGATTGTTGATAGATATTCCACCAATCTTGACCCCACATTTCTCCTCATAGAGCCCAGCCTCCCGGATAATCTGTTCTGCATACAGGTTGAAAAGTTATGGAGACAGGACACATCCCTGGCATAGGCCCTTCCCATGTTTGAACCATGCAGTGTTTCCTTGCTCCACTCTGATGATTGCCTCTTGGTCCAAGTATAGGTTTTGCATTAGCACGATCAAGTGTTCTGAGATTCCCATTCTTCTCAGAGTCAGCCACAATTTGTTATGATCCACATAGTCAAATGCCTTTGTATAGTCATAGTTTAAAAAAGAAAAATCTAAGAGTTTTAATAACAAAATCAAAACCAAACATTGGGAAGCTTTGAATCTTACCCTCTGATAACACTGAGGCAGAGTACTTTCCAGCAGAGGAGGTGTTCTTTGCATCAATATTCCAACAGACTCTCTTAAAAGAGGAATAACACTAAAAAAAGGAAGAAAATAGTATTTGTTAAAACCACATTCTTGCAATCCCATCCTGTGAGAAACTAATCAATCTTTCTCTCTTTCCTGAACTCTATCGTTGCCAGCTAGTTGGAACTAACTGATAGCTGACCCTCTACTAGGTTTCTGTGGCTGTTCATGGTACAGAAGCAGACTGATCATCAAGACACAACATAACAGAATATAATAAAATTTATCAGAATGATAAACTGAAAAGAACCCAGTCATTGTTCCAAATTTTTAATGTGAAGAGTAACTTAGTCAATATCTAAAGTAAAAGGAACTAGAGAAAACATAATGTTAGTATATAAAAGGCTAAAGTTACAATATCAAGTCACATTGAATCACCTTAAAAAAGTCTCAGCATAGTAGCTGTTCAATCATTATTTAAAATATGCTTTCAAAGGCTAGAATGTTCCAGGTAATTTCTAAAGTCTCTCATTGTCAATTTATCTTTAATGTTTACTAAATATTTGAAAGCATTTACTTGAATAGCAATATTAACGAGATTAAAGGAAAAAACCCCTTACTATTTCAGTCTACTCACTGAATACGTCCCAATGCGATACTGCATCAAGATTACATAATTATTTAGAAAATATAGAATCCACAAATTTAATGAATGTGCCTATATATTTTTTAAATTATTTTATATTGGTTTGATATATATTGTTTAAAACTATTCTTCATTCACATTGTATTTTATACGATCATTCCAATGTATTATGTTTTATAAAATTAATTCTCATTGGCTTATGCCCATCATTATCCCATCTTTATAGGTCCACAATGGATCTTTCTAATTTCCTTTACCTCCTCCCTCAACCCTCCAAATTGTGCAAGCTTGTGATTTCGCCTCTACCCATCCTTACCCCTCTGCTCCCACCTCTTCCCCTCTTGGGTCCGCATACATGTTTTACTAGTTATCCTTCCAAGGCTATGGTCCTAAGTTACACCTCAAGAATCCCATAGCTCAAGTTCTAGACTAAAAAGTGATCAGTAACATCAGAGAAGGATCACACTCCTTAGAACAATTAACCATAAAATAATGAAAAGGAAGCATCTACCCAAGGTTAAAGTGAAAAAGACTGAAAGGTATATGAAAGAAAAACATAAAAGTAAAACATTGGAATGGAGTGAGAAGAGGTCTATTACAATAGAAAGATGGTAATCGGTCTCATAAACCCTGATATGAATGAATTGTTGAATGGCTAAGCAATTTTCTCTCTGCATGTTTTTACTCAAATTTTAACAGAGAGTATCAGAGAGAGAGTATGTGTGTGGTTTTAGAATGCTTAGGTTTAAAGAATTTTTCTGACCTTGCCCTTCAAGAGCTGGTGGTTGCCTGCATAGGTAGAATTTTAATAGAGCACTCTTCATTCATCAGTAGCAAGCATTTCTCTAAAGCTCAAGGATGTGTCAAACTAATTTTCTCCATTGGCAATTTTCAAATAACATAAGAATTCCCGCAGTAGGAGGTTTAATTAAGTCATGAAACAGTGCTGGGGTAACAAGGGTACTTGCTATCACAGTGAAATGCAATTTAGAACCAAGGCCAAATCTCTATAATAACTTCAAAGGTCCTGAAAATATAAAAGAAAACAGTAAATTCTCTACTTTTGCTTTTTAAAATTGTGTTTAGCTCAGGAGTTTGTGGCCATATTTTTCTGATTAACTATCATAATGAGGAATCATAAAAACAGATTGTAGCATGGATCTATCTAGCCATAATGAAAGGATATGCAGAAAAAGGAAAGCTTAGCAAATTCCTAACTGAGCTAAGACTTAGAGCTCCATCCAAACCAAAAAGTAAGCATTTGGAAACAATTAGAGGTTCATTTCTGGTTGACTAACCCAATTCTAGCTTTAACAATGAAACACCATTTTCCTAGCATATATAAAAAGGGATGAGTCATTAGGTATATGTTTATTTGTATCACAGTAAAATGATTTTATTCTTCAAAAGCTGAAAATAAATCAATTTTATAATTATCCAAACATAAAGATAAAACTACTTTGAAATTTTCACCATAAATGTCAACAAATTTAAATCAATGGCATTTACTTATTGCTCTTTATTGCCAGGAATTTTGCAAATGAAATTATGTTCAAATCTTATTTCAGAAGCAATTTTTCATTAAAGACTCTCACTATTCCAACATTAAATAAAATTCTCTCAAATTCACTGAGAGTCAGTTTCTACTCAATGCTGACCCACCATCTGGTTTCCAAGGCTATCAATCACACAAGGGAGGAGCCTGCCCATCTTTTTAGTCAGTGGATTCAAACTGGCAGAGAAACCAGTTTACAAACGATATGCAGAACAGATCATCCGGAAGCAGGGCTTTCTGAGGAGGAATGTGGCATCAGGATTGGAGGAAGACTCATCAACAACCTATGTTATGCAGATTATGCAACCTTGCTTGCCGAAACTGAAGAGGACCTGAAGCACTTGCTGCAGGAGGTCAAGGACTGTAGTCTTCAATATGAACTAAAGCTCAACATTAAGAAGACAAAGGTTTTCACTATTGGACCAATTGACAGCACCATGGTAGATGGAGAAGAGATTGAGGTTGTTAACAATTATAGCTTGCTTAGCTCCACAATCAACAATCTGAGCACCAGCAGTCAGGAAATCAAGAGACGAATTGCACTAGGAAAATTTGCTGTCAAGGACCTCTCCAGAGTGCTGAAAAACAACGATGTTGATCTGGAGACTAAGGTGTGCCTAGCCCAGGGCATGGTCTTCGCAATTACTTCCTGTATTAGAAAGCTGGACAATGACTAAGGATGACAGAAGAAGAATTGATGCCTTTGAGTTGTGGTGCTTGAGAAGAGTCTTGAACATACCATGGATCACCAAGAGAACAAACAGGTCTGTCTTGGAGAGGGTGAAACCAAGTTTCTTCTTAGAGGCTAGGATTTTTGAAGCTCCATCTCACATACTTTGGGCATGTGGCCAAGAGAGACCAGTCCTTGAAGAAAAAATATCATGCTCTGAAGGGTGGAGGGACTCACGAAGTGCAGGCAAGAAGACCCCAAATGAGATTAAATGGTGCAGTAAGGGTAGGTGTGTTGGAATCAGTAAGACTACCTCAGGACAAGGCAGGCTTCAGAGTTCCCGAACACAGGGTTTCAGGCTACTCAAGAGCACATAACAACAACAATTTAAAAGAGGAAAAGCGTATTTTCAGAAAAAAAGAAAATGTAAATTTAACCTGTGTCGTGTCACGTACTTAAAATTTTTTTAATTAAAAAATGGAATAAAAACCACCAAATATTGTAATTTATTGTATATTTAGACATAGTAATCCCATGGTAAGTTGTAAATCTGCAGTCACATTTGTGACATTTTCAGGTTCACACAAGCCTAATATAGAACAGAGATGAATTAGAATTAGGATGATAGTAGAGAATACAAGATAAAATATAAACTAAGTTAAGAACAAATATATCCATTTTGGAAGACATCAGAATGCTACCTAGAGGCAAAGATATTATGTTCTCTTATAAACTTTAGACCTATTATCAAGAAGGACTGGTCCCTGGAGAAGAACATCATGTTTAATAAAATAAAGGAAAAGCAGGAAGACTCTCAACAAGATGAATTGATACAGTAGCTGTAATGGCTCAATAATTGTCATGATTAGTGTTTGGTTTTCTTGTAAATGGAATTACTATGACTTGGAACATATTTGATAGCACCTAACAACAGTATGTTGTTTTTATTGTTGTCAGTAAGTACCACTGAATCGAGTGCGATTCATAGTGACCTTATGAACAGCAGACCTGAACTCTGCCCTCTCCTGTGGCATCCTCAACATTTCTGACACACTTGAGCCCATTTCTGCAGTCACTCTGTCAATCTATCTCACTGGAAGTCTTCCTCTCCTTTAGTGGCCTTTTCTTTTTCCAAGCATGTTGTCCATTTCCAAGAAATAGCCTTGACCAGTTACATGTGCAGCATATGAGAGACGAACGAGCACCGTCTTTGTCTACAAGGAGCCATAATTGCCCCTTGATGTATCTGTTTGTTCTTTTGATAGTCCATGGGATATTCAGTACTCTTCTCCAATACCATTAACTCAAAGGCATCAATTATTTTCTGTCATCCATATTCACCATCCAGCTCTTTGTGCAGGTGCACCATAGTCTTCAAACTGACCTCAGAGCTCTTAAGTATTTTGGAGAACAGTATAGGATAGCCCAAAGTATAACACCAGGTGTTAATCTTTAGAACTATACTGACTTCCCAGCAACTATGATCAATCAATGCACATTTATAGAGTACATACTTTACTTAATAATGAGATTTTACATAATAAAAAGATATTCTGAAGCACCCTAAAAATCAGAGCTAAATCATGAAAAGGTTACACTTTTCTTTAAGCTTCTGGAACTTAGTTTTAACACTTAATGCATCTGGTTCTTTGGACTGAAAACATTAATAATATGAAATAAGTAAGTAATCAGCATCATCTTTGTTTATATAACACTTAATAATTTTTAAAATGATTTCATAAATTTTTCTAATTTGTTCCTTACAACAATTTTAATTAGCCGTAAGAAAATTCTGGAATAAAAAGGGTCAGATGTAGGCAAGATCTTAAGAAATCCTTTTTTTAAAAATTTTTATTTTTTATGTGTGTACCGTCAAATTGGATCTGACTGGTACAGGAGGTGATTGTTCCTCCTTCTTCAGCAGAGCATCTGGTGGATTTGAACCGCGTACCTCTGGGATTGCAGTATAGTTTCCTGGCACTAGGCCACCAGAGCTCACCAAGAAATCCTTTAGGACAATCCCCTCAAGATATAAATGAGGAAATATGCTTAGAAAGGTCAAGATAGCTTGTTCTTTGTTGAACACTGGTAAAAGCACATAATTCCAAGGCTGAAGCCCTTTGAAC